CAGGGTACAAACATAGAACATCTAATAATATAACGGAAAATGGATTAAGTCCTTTTCAACAAACAAAAAATCATCGTAATCGGGTCAGAAATGTTGGAAAATGTTGAAATCGATTCATAAACTCTACTACAATACACACTAATAATGTTTACTTGTGTAAAAAACAAGAATATATGAAAATAAGGAAATAAATAAAGGCATGGAGAAGGAAAAACCAAAATTAGATGTTCAGAAAGTGATATGATCTAGTAAACAATTATACATATTAATCACAACAACAAAAGTTCAAAGGTTAAAAACAGTTTCTAAGCTAGTACAATAACTATACTAATTTTTAGCCAGGTAGGTACAACAGATCACAGCTAGAGTACTACACATGCTTTAAGTACACAAGCCTTAAAATTCATTGTCAAATAAAATAAAATTAAGTGTCTTCAGTCATTTACATAGTAAAAAAATTTACAACTTTTACAGCTTGTTAAATCTCAATAGTAACATAACGTCTTGGATAATAATGTGTATGCGCAGGATGTTTAAAAGCTTAAAACAAATACATAATTTGACTTGGTCGGTGGCCTAGTGTTTAGCGGTATATAAGGAGGGGACAATTTGAGAAATTAACTTTTCTAAATTGTTTCTTTTCTGGGTATTTTGGGTTGTCCCTCGGAGTTAATTTCGTATGTCATAGTTTCGTAGTTTGAAACCAGGTGAAAGGCGTAGTTGTTTGTTATTACATAGAATTAGTTGTTGTATTCACGTTGTTTAACTTTTAACTAGAACATACACACAATATATACATACACATATACATACATATATATATACACAACAAAGTAAATTATTTGGTTTCTTGTTCTCTTAAAGTACACCAAACTTAAATTAAAAAAAACGTTAAATTTACCATGCAGAAAATTATCCACACTATATTAATCTAAATACATAGTTTAAAAAAATTAAAAGAGAACCACCTTTCTTTTTGAAATTCGTCAAAAATCCTTCTTTTAACCGACTTTAAAAAGTAGGAGGTTATACGTTTGGCTGTATGTATGTTTTCAGATTTCTCCGTCAATTATAGACCGATTTTGAAAAATCATTGTCACCAAGTCAGAATCTGATCCTGGATAGAGGATCCATGGAAATCGAGGAAAATCCTCAAATTTTATAGCGTTTTCTGTGTACATACCCATTTCTCCATCAATTGTGGATCGATTTTGAAAATGTTTTATGTTTGAAAGGGTATACTCTCGAGGTGGTCCATGATGCCGGCGATATCACAAATTAAAAAAATATTTTTCGCAAATAAAATTTGACTATTTACTTGACACAATACATATAATCAATAAAACACTGTCACCATAACAACCAGAATAAAAAGTATAAAATGTACAAGTCCGTAACAGTCCCATTGTCAACATGAAGTCAGAATCGAATGAATCCCATGGAAATCGAAAAATAAGTAGACTTACTTACTTACGATAAGCAAACTTTGAGGTCGCTTTGTTTTCAATGAAAAAGTTAAAATTATTCTATTTTAATAATTGTGAACAATCCTATTTTTAACCGACTTTAAAAAAAGAAGTTCTCAATTCGATTGTGCTCAAGTCTGGCAGAAGCCCATGGATTTAAATTAACATGACTTTATAAAAAATGTGCCTTAAGTATAAATTAAATAATAACCTGATTTCTGAGGGCACAAAAACCTGTCAGAGCCAATTGAACCGACATGAACTTAAATGACCATTACCACGTTATACAACTTAATACAACGAATTATGAACAATAAAAATTAAGTGTATGTGATTCAGTCTCAAATTCTAAACCTTATCATATTGTAAATAAATCATAATAATGTTAATACGAAGTCACCAAGGTAACATACATTTACGTGTGTTCGGTTGACGACGGCACACTCAGTGGCCGCATAAAAAGCCCGTGTCCTTCTTAGAAGGTTCTTAGTACGTGCCTGTTGAAGTTTTGCCATCTACCTCCATGTCAGGATTACCAACGCGAATTGAAGTAAAAAATGCGCTGCGCAGTGACAAATTATTGGGCGAGTCGAAATATTTGTTGTGTTTATAAACACTGGAGCTATACTAGATAATGTAACACATTCTGGTACATTATACCAGAATGAAATGTAAACCACCTCTTTTTTGTGTTCTACCTCACATATTTTATGAGTTGTAATAGACTTAGTTATTGTTATTTTGAAGCATCATACTTGATGCATATAAAACCTATTGTGGTAAAGCAGTAGAGCTCCATGTGAAAGAGTTCGTCCAGGGAAGTACTGCCACCTTACCTATTTCTGCCGCCAAGCAGTAATGTCAGTATTACTATGTCGCTATTTTGAAGGGTAAGGGTGCTGGTGTAATTATAGGCACATGGGACATGTCAACTTATGTCTCAGGGTGACGGGCTCAGTGGCAGTGCCCGTCAGATCTTTGCGATTTATAACTCTGAGTGGCACTGCTCCTATTATGGACAGGCGTGTAGCTTACCATGAAGCGCACGACTTGATATTTTAAAAAAGAAGGTCCGTTCCACACATGTTTTAGGGGATCTGAACATTTTTCGACGTGTGCGTGAACGTACCATCTCGATGTTTTCCTTCTCCGGCACAGGGATTGGAACCGTTGGACTCTAAAATGAGGAGTAGCCGTTTTCCCACTAAGTCACCGTGGTAGTACAATTTTTTTTTCACGCGATGCCTAATTTTTTAGGTATATCCTGAAAAGATGTAATTTTCGAGATGTGACTTTATTACACCAAGAACATTATCTGTTATTCATAATTCTAAATATAATAATTATTGCCTCGGTGGCCGAAGGGTTCCCAGGAAGGAGGTCCCGGGTTGGATTCCCGGGCCGGGAGATATATTAGTATGGCCTAAATTTATTTATCTCGTGACATCGAATGTAATATATAGTTGTCTATGTTGTGTGTCCATGGCACCTGCGATATAGGGTTTCCCTAGTGCGGGGCTATGAGTGTGTACGTTATTATTATTAGCTATGTATGTACATGTTCTTAAGCTTTTGCGCTTTTACTATAGGTATATATATAATAAATATTTCCCATAAACTTATTACTGTTTGGTAAGTAGGTATTTACAAATTTCTCGAATACTCTCTACAGTTACTCAATGTATTGACCCCTTATCCATTGTAGTCGAAGTGATGCCACGCGCTGCGCGGGCGCACGGAATGCGTGAATCAGAACGGCGGAGGATCTAAAACAAACAGATCAATGAGGGATGCTTCTCACATGACGCCAGAGCAGTATTCTGTTTATTTAAACAAGATTAAGTTTATTTAAATAAGTATTACAGTTGTCATTGCAACGGAAATTGCTGATTAAGGCAAATACACAGTGCTAACTTCGCAACAACCTCATCGCTAGTTACATGGAATAGTGTCCTAGAGGCCAGAATATCTACAGGAATATTAAATCATGTAATGTGCCATGCCCTTACATGGATTCGGAAACGGTCGCTAGCATATATTACAGCTATTATAAAAAAAATAAAGCAAGTTCATTCATAAACGATTCATTAACAAACAGGTCGACGTCACCGTCCATAATACAAAAGTGATCAAGAACCGCCGCGTCCGCAAAAGGCGTCGCAGAACATTGTTGCGCACGCGCAAGGTCGCCTGTGACTCGCATCAAAGAGTATTGACTTTGATGATTAATGTCCGCACACGTATTTAGAATCTGTTTAGTTTGATAAGCCTAAAAGTGTCATTATTTGATATTTTAAATTATAGGTCCATCGGACTTGTCAACTAGGTTTAAGGGTGACGGGCGCAGTGGCAGTGCCCCTCACATCTTTGTAAGAGAGTGATGTGTGAGCTCTGAGTGGCACTGCGACTGTTATGGACAGGCGTGTCGCTTACCACCAGGCACATGACTTCTTCGTCCCGTCACTTAATATCAAAAAATATCTGCACTGACTCTGTTCTTTCTACGACCACGATTACTTCTTCTTTAGATGCATACTATATACATGTATATAAACTACCCTACGATATGTGTATCGGAAGTTCTTGTTAATCGAAATCAAGCTGTGTAATAGTTTCCAGTTCACACCAGCCCGCCACACCAACACACGCCATACCAACAAGTTTATTGTACATTATGATTACGGTTATTTTGATCAAAATTATTTTTCTGCGATAACTTACATGGATATTGTTTACGTCGTTAAAACGTATTCAAAGAGCAATTCCAAGAGTTTCTTACTAATTATTCTCAGGGGAATCTGCCTTTCAAACGATTTGTCGTATCTAACCAATCTGACGATTTGAAACGTAACTTACTTGTCAATGAAATAAAGACATTTTTTCATCACACTTGCTCGTAAACAGTGTCATAACATGCAGGCAAGTTGACCGTAACGTCCTAAATTATATTCACGGTTTTTTTCATTACATTATCGCCCTATAAATTTTTATATCAAGATTAAGTAAAAAGATTTTATGCTCGAAAAACCTGTACTTATAACTTATATTTCGCATAAACTTGAAGCATGAAAAAACTTATCATTTGCAATTTAACTATATTTTACTAAATTTATTTTGTTAATGCAAATTGTGCAGTATTTTTAGAATTATTTATTTTATCTAATACATTGTGGCTGCATGCGTCTGTGCCTTCTATAACATTTCAATTCGAGTTGTATTATCTAGAATGTAGAATAGCTGGCAATCTGTTTAAAAAAAAGAACCCGCCATTTGCAAAGTCCGTAAAAGTTGTGTTGTGAAGCGGCATTTATTCATACAAGAAATACATTATCGTTGTATCTATTTCCTCGCAAATTTGATTAAAGACATTGTATATAGCATGGGCGGTAAAAATTACAAACCCTCAGCCTTCAGCTTCGGGCTTCTAATAAACTCTCGTTAGTAATTTCTTATTTACCGCCCTTTTTAATTTGGGTTGCGTAGGTACCGAATGTATAAAGAAGCTATAATTTAATTTATTTCTATTGTCCTCAGTGCGAAGAATCAATGTCAGCTGGAGACATGTGCGTGTCCGCCGCCCGCGCCGGCCCCTCTGCTCGCTGGCACCCGGCCTGTTTCGTCTGCGCCACCTGCCAGGAGCTGCTGGTGGACCTTGTCTACTTCTGGAAAGATGGACGGCTGTATTGTGGACGTCACCACGCGGAGAATTTGAAGCCGAGGTGCTCCGCTTGTGACGAGGTGAGATCAATTCCCTTAAAACTGTAAATCTCAGACACTTAATAGAAGAAGTATAGGATTTGCTAAAAACCCCGCTTGACGGATGGATTCGCGTTCGTACAGCAATTTCCAACGGTTGTCACGTTCCACAAAGAATAAATTCCAAATAAATACCTTATTTATTTTATGTGGAAAACGAGTTTCAAATTTGTTGCACGTCCTCAATTTGCGGGCAGAAAAAGAGTACAATTTGTCTCGAAAATTACCCCCAAAATATACTTTAACAGACACTCAATTATCCGGCAATATCCGGCCTGGGCGCCGGAACATCGCCAATGATAAGCCAATTTGTCGGAAGTGCGATAGCATCGCGACTTCGTGACTGTCGAAGGAAGGGGTTAAGTGGAATTCGACGTGGCCGAGTGTGGTACTTCATGTCATTCCATGGATGGGCACTTTGTAGTGAAACGTTTGAAGGCGCTGATAACCTGGTGGCACAACGATCGCTTGTTATTTAACAGCAAGTATCTACTTATGACATTAATTTGTAGGTTACAAACGTTTTGTGATTGATTAGTAGCAATACCTGTCGTTCACGATTAAGGAAAAGCTCGTAATAAAACCTACACGTAAAAAAGTTTCACTACTCTTGGAAAACGTGTAATGTCACTCGCATCGGGACTAGCATGGTGGACTATAGCCTAAACCCCTCACTTTGTTTACTGCCGAGTGGAATTGTTGGTAGTTATGTGAGAATAGATTTAGAATAATATGATATAGATAGACTTTAATGTCACGCTAGCGTCTGACCTGGTATTATTTGTTTGTAAAGTAAATAGACTTTAAAGTGGCAACCGATCGCAGGTCCGAATATTTTAGATGCTTATCGTTAAGAAAACATTAGGTTTTGGTTGTTTTATAATATCGAGTTGTGAGGTTTTCGCGATTGTTACATATAAGAAATGAAACTATTTTTCTGGATTTAAATTCAAACAAACCAACATTTCGGACTTCACAGGTTCGAAACAAATATACGCGATTAAAATCCGAAAAAATAGCTTCATTTTCTATGTCTTCATTTTAATATTTCTAAAAAGATTTCCGCAAGAAAAGGTCTTTAGGGGTTACGAAAATTCGGAAAATATCGGATTTCTGATAGGTAATCCTTTTTACAGTGAGTTCTTACTTATTGACTATCAAGTTTAGATGTCTCCACATAAGTTGTTTCTAAAGACGTAAATAGGGCTCTGGAGTCTGCAGCAGCTTTTGACTTTATCGTTCACACAAAAATAATTGTACTAAATGGATCATAACGGCACTACATTGCGTCGACGATACAGTTGCGTAAACGTCACTTAGATCTATCAAAGTCTATAAGGTTTCATAATACATAATATGTTATTGACATAACTCAGTCAAGAGCATGTCGGCAAGTGCGGCAGGTGTGAGAATCACGTGACTCATTTGGTAGACACCAGCTTCTTCCAGTGTATTAAAATCGTTTACTGCGATCTGCAGCCCACCAGCCAAGCGTAGTAATTTGGACAAATCTTTCTAGAAACGAAATATGGGCACATAGCTTAGCAGTAGATTGTAAACTTATGTGAAGTAGCAGTTCTAACAAACATCTTGACCTGTCGAGTGCACCCAGTTCCTGCGCCGTTGTTCGATTACACACAAATAAAGACACAGAAATAGGTTTTTTAAAGAAATGGGCTTGCTCTTGACCACTACCTAGCTCTGGAGCAAAGATAAGATCTACGGTGGAACGAGCTCGCCCAGAAGATACCTATTCAGTCACACCTTAAAGATATCCGGGTTAAATGTGCTAGGAAACACAGTCGCAGGCACGAAATTCACACATTCACCGAAATATATTCTCTTTCTTAATTTTTTACTAATTTGTACTAAATTTGTTATTAGAAAAGAAATGCAAGTTTTTACACGAATATTTTAAAGCGTAAACAACCTTATTGCCGGGCAATGCGGCAGCATCGCGTGTCAGCGCCAGCAACCCTGCCAAAAGGGAAGGCTACGTTGATGCACAACCTGTTCAACCCGCACACACCGCTGCATACAAACACGGCCTCTGCAATGCTGCACCCTTGACATTTAACAGCCTTCCGAGCTCCAGTGGCAATTATAAATATCCATTTTTGGCAAGAGGTTTCTGTTTCCGAAAGGTACATAGCTAAAGACGTCACGCGAGGAATACTTTGCATTTCATTAGGTATGTATGTGGGTAACCCATGTCTAAACAATTCAAGGACTTCGAGTTATACAGACAAATGTGCAATTCAATATACGATATGGTGCTGCTTAATTTTACGGTATATCTTTTAGTGGTTTTCTACGGCATGCGAACATAGCTCTAGAATTATTAACGGGAAGCGGTGGCTTTATTCTTTAGGGTGAGATTCGAAATGGACGTTATGTCATATTTCGACATCAAAAAATACTAATTCGCCTTGCTTTGAAATACCTCCGTGGCCGAACGGTTACCACGTTAACTTTTGTAGTTTCAGTTTGTATTACATATAAGCAAATTTTGAAGCCGGTTCCTTTTGGTTTTTTTAATAAAAATTGGAATAGAATGAAAACTGCAGATACTGATAATGAATCATGGAGTCTGAAACACAATTTACTGTTGCTCGATAAAAAAATCACAACGTCCCGCAAGATTTCTATTTTTTTATCACGTTTATCTACGGAAACGTCACTTTCATTCGATTATTGGTTAGAGATGTTTCAATGAAATCTCTCCCGTATCCCGTAATAAATACGTTAGAGGATTATGAGCTTATTTTGCAGTAAAAGAGTAATATTTTATTTCTAATACGCAAATGTTTAAATCTGTGACTAGTGAAAAGGGGTACAAGTAAAAAAACTCAACTTTATAAAGAAACGTGAAAAACAGTTAACACTTAATATTATATTAAGCTTTAACTATTCTGTTGGGTTTTTGAGTTGTACCCCTTTTCACTAGAGTCACAGAAATATAGTGCAATGATTTTCTCCGCGTCCACCTCACGCGATTCAAAAACTACACAACCACGATACCTTAAAGGGAAAATACTATACATGTCAGTTACTTTATCCCAATGCTGGGTACGTGTCTCCTTTAAAGAGAATTGTCTCTCTCCTCACCTCTCAGAAAAGGGACGTGATAAAGAATCAAACCTAGATCCATGTACTCGCGTGACGAAGATCCATCAGGCCTTATCGGCGCATGGCAGACATGCGGAGACAACACATGTCACAAGCAAACAGTGCATAAAGTTAACATTGTAGGTACATTAATAAATAGTGAATATAGGACGAAATTCGTTATTAAAGTATCTACACGACTTCGTACTTAAACAATAATAGTATGGTGGTGGTATTAACCCGTTACGCATCCTAGTGATACACGGTGTCTCTAACGTGCAGATGTATTTTATCTGCTCAATTGTAAAAAAATACAAAAACGAATATTTTTCTTTTTCTCAAAAACCGTGTGCCCTAGGACGTGTGATGGGCGGACATATCTTTATCTCTTTATCTTTTTTTATAAGTAGCATAGTAACTAATAAATATCTTGTGATATTCTACATTTTTTTTTTAAATATAATAGGCACACCCATAACTTCACTTAATGTTAAGCGATAATGTTACCAACCAAAAAATGTCTAGTCACTCTAGCCTTGAGTAACCCCAAATTATAGCACTCAATGAACACCGGCACTGATTTTCCTTTTAATTTTTATGATAACTAAAAACGTGAAAATGAATCAATTTTTTATTTTTCTAAATTGCGTTTATTTGTTTTGTTCAACAAACCAATGTTTAGGTCGCTCTTCAGATCCTATGGTCACGGCCACAGCTGACTGAGATGGCAGTCATGAACCAACCATGTCTAACATTAATGCAAACCACCCTAAAAAAGAAAATAAAATGTATTTCATTCCCAATTTGTAACTATAACGAGATCCTACGTACTTGAAACATGATTTATTTAAAAAAATAATGGTTTTTCTCTTTACTCGACTGGTTTTACTTTTCTGTAATTAAATATAAAAAGAAAGATAATAATCAGCGATTCATTGGCTCACAGAACCGATCGTAACTGAACACCACATGAGTAACAGTTAAAAAAATACTACGAAATAATGAAAGCATTATGTTTATTTCACGAACAAAAAAAACCTTATCTTAATAGGTCAGATCTCATAGGTTTTTTCACTTTTACCCCCTCCCCCCTTGACTCAGATCTCACCCCCTCTGATCCCCTCAGTCACGAACCTGATTTCAGACTGAAATAAGTGTAATAAAGGCTTTATTTAATGCCCTGAAATCACCGAAATGTAATAAAACGTTACGAGAACAGGAAGCCATAAGCGAGATTTTCTGCTATTAAATTTGGCATTTTTAGTAACTAGTTACTGTAAAAAAAATTATGATTAAAATATCCAAATTTTCGATATCATATAAATTAGACCTGCCACATATTATTAACAGGCTATCGGCAAAAGAAGAGGCATAAATCCAGATTATAAATATTATCATTTATATTGCACTACCATAAGTTAAACCAACAGTTTAAGCCCAGGTTTACCAAGCTGTGAACTTCACAGGTTTTCAAGGGCTTACTGCGTCGAGATGCTATGCTACAATACAGCGAAGCGTCATTGTCCTTTCTCCTTTTCCAAGGACCTAGGACGAGCAGGGGGATTATTAAAATCTGAAATAATTGAATCTATTTCACGTACGTACTCGTTACGCTATCTTCAGCGCAGCAACGGCGTTTTATCACCCATCAACGTCTAATTATAGCAATACAGATTACGATCTCGCATTCTTGAGGCATTCATTGTTTTTATAATACTTTAATATCTTGATTAAGCACTTAAAAGTTCAATTGAAAACGTATTTTTTTCCACATAGATTATTATTTTTCAAATAGGTAAGCGAAACTTGGTCATTTGTTTAAATCTTTGATCAAAATTTGAACCAAAACTCATAGATTTGAACGTATATGCATC